TTCAGAGACCTTGCTGTTGGACGTAGTTTATCGTCTTACCCAGGACGCGGACGTTGTTTATCGTGTTACCAAGGACGCGGATGTAGTTTTTCGTTTTACCCAGGACGCGGATATAGTTTTTCGTCTTACCCAGGACGCGGACGTTGTTTATCGTCTTACCCAGGACGCGGATGTAGTTTATCGTCTTACCCAGGACGCGGATGCAGTTTATCGTTTTACCCAGGACGTGGATGTAGTTTTTCTTCATACCCAGGACGTGGATGTAGTTTTTCGTCATACCCAGGACACAGATGTAGTTTATCGTCTTACCCAGGACGCGGATGTAGTTTTTCGTTTTACCAAGGACGCGGATGTAGTTTTTCGTCTTACCCAGAACGCGGACGTTGTTTTTCGTCTTACCCAGGACGCGGATGTAGTTTATCGTCTTACCCAGTACGTGTAGAATGTCATGGTTATTTTTCTTTTTCATCGTGTTTTTTTTTTCATTTTACACTAATTCTTTATTGATTTTTCACTTTTCTCTGTTTTCGTCTTTTCTTCTTTTTTTTCAATTGTATCGATTTCGATTTCCTATTTTCCGGACATTCACTGTCCTTGTCAATTCTTGAGCGTTCTAGTGTTTCTTGAGTTCGGAAAATTGTATTTCATTTTTTACGTAAATCATTTTTTAATCGGCATCTACTCTTTTTTTTCGAAGATATCTATATTCTAGTGTAGCTAGGCAATCATCAGACGCCAGTTCAGGGACATATGTGTTTGCTCAACACCCACAGACCCCCACCTTTGGTTTATACTGCAACTATTCTGAGAAAACTTTAGTTACAGTTTCTAGGAGAAAGCGCATAATTTGGAGCGATTAGAAGTTTAATGAAAGCCAGTGTGCTCATCTCTCGGTCACGATGACTTGTGACTTTATGTCAGCACAACCATCGTCGGCTTCCAAACAGTTTCATCTACTCAATTTCACTCACATGTCTTGAGTCAGCAAAGGTGCTGAACGCTGAGATAGGCTCCCTAGGCCGATAATATAAATAATATAAGTCAGCTTCTGGAGAAAGTGTTAAATTTACCACGTCTCATTTCATCGTTGATTTGCTACGAGTTTTCAGCGGCCAATCTCATATAATATATTTTCCCGCCCAAAGCCCAATGGAACACCTCGTAAGTTTAGGATTATTTGTGTGTATTTGTTAGTTTGTCGTGTTTGAATTTTTTTGGTATAGGAATCCAGTTTCCTTTTTCTTTTTTCTTTAGTTTTTGTTGTTGTTTTTAGTTTTGGTGGAGGTATAGACAGCTGCAAAATTCTTGATAAAATTATTCGAATTTAATGGGTATATATATTCCCTTTGAATAGACCGTTCAGTTTTTTTATTAACCTTTTTTGTATAGTGATTTTCCAAGCGTAGCTTAGATGTGGCACAAGGCCGAAAGTATGGGGCACCCAGTGACTAACCTTTTTTGTATATATGAATTTTTATATACATTGGACGTTTGTGGTCTATTCATAAACGTAAATTTTGGATGTCATCAGAAAAAAAAATTCTTATTTGTGCAAGTTTGAAAAATCAACAAAAGTATTTTTTGCAAGATTTTAATTCAATTTTTCGTCGTTTTGAACCTTTTCCCAGGTTTCCGGAGAATTTGAACAGAAATTGTCCAGTGCCATCTAAAAGAGACCAACGCTACAAACTTTCAAAGACAAATTCCAACAGCGAAAATGAAACTCTGCCAACCTAATAAAAGACGCAACACAGTCAAACACAAATTAAAAACTAAAGCAGACATCATGGTAACCAAAAGATCCACGATTAAATCACCAAAGAGAAAAAGATTCATATATAATAGAGAGCAGTTTCGTTATGAAATATTAAAAACTAAAATTAACAAGCCATTCCTTGCCCCAGTTAACAACAGAATGTAAGTTATCAGCTGCCAATATGGTCTTGTCGAACTGATCAGACTTACTATTAAGACATGAGTAAATAGTTGCGTCATCCGCATAGATACCGAATTGAGAACTAATGCGATCAAGGTTTACCATTGGTAATAATACTGAAATTGCATTTTTGAATGTCTGCATATGAACAAAATCAGATTCAGATATGTATATGCATATATAAAGAACGTTGGGAAAAGGTGCCATATAGGAAGAAAATGTGTAACTACCGACACCGAGGTTCGAGCGTGACACTCTGGACTTATGAATATATGTTTACCGCCAGGTGTATATATAGCGGTGCCAGGCTACTGACTGCAGTGATTATTCAGTGAATATTGAGTGGAACGATCCAGTCGAATTAGTGTGAATTATTGGGCGTCAATCATTTTGGGTTTGATTTAGGATTTACTAGATGTTAAGCCTAGCTGCGCTACTAACAACGTATTCTACTGAAATGGTTAATTATCTTTAGTTGATTTTTTCTTCTTTGTTCTTGTTAAGTATTTATTTGCGGCTGTAATTAAATACTGCTTTATTTTAACATTGAAGTCTTGAGTTATACTTAATTATTAACGGCCACCGTAGGCTACAAAAAATGCAATTCAGACAATCAATGATACGTCAGTTTTACAGTCTCGTTGAACTTCGTTCACTTCTTTCATGCGCTGTAAGTATGAAGATAACGTACATCCTGAAGCAAGACCTCTCATCCGGAGATTGGAGGTTTTAAGGGGCGTGGAACCAACACTTAATTGCTGGTGTTCCCATTTCCACCCTGAGCTGGAGTAGTAGCATCTGTTAGGGTCCCAGCTATGGGCACATAGTCTAGAACAGTCTACCCCAGCGAGCGAAATAAAGGGTTTAGTTCGACATTGCAAACCACCTGAAGAAGGCCGGAGCGTACAACAGCCGAAACGTGATAAATGCCATCACCAAACAAAAGCAAAACACCATGAAAGTATAAAAATACCAACATTATATTTTTATATAAAAAAAAATTACCAACGATGCTATTTTAAAGTAAAATAGCCAGCAATACATTTTATAACAAAATGACCAACAATACATTTTATAGTAAAATGACCAACAATAAATTTTATCTGTAGTTGAAGCCATCAACACTTGTTCAAAGTATTTAGATTTCGACATTAAATAACCCTATTTACATTGCTCGGATTATCATTCTCATCTTTGTTGCCATATTTATCACAACGTTTCGGCCGCTGTACGCTCTGGCCTTCTTCAGGTGGTTGCAATGTCGAACTGAACCCTTTATTTCGATCGCTTAGGTAGACTGTTCTAGTTCCACGTGCCATGCCTAATGGATGTCAGTTATCAATTATCTCCTGTTAATTCCCTACTCCAAGTTTTCCACCGCCTTAACCAGGTATTGAACTCTTTGGATTCTGTCACTGGATCTAACTAACGCCTTTATCCACTGTGCCATGTGTCCTTGAGGACACATGGCACAGTGGATAAAGGCGTTGTGATAAATATGGCAACAAAGATGCGAATGATCGTCCGAGCAATGTAAATATTGTACCTAATACCTCATCTCAGAAATATAGATAGATATTAAATAACCCATTAAAGTGTTGATGTGCCGATAGACAAAAGCAACGAACCAACCAAACTTCTTTCATGCTCCCACGTCTATTAAAAATGTTACCCGGTTTGTAGCAGCCGCCAAGTGAAGTTTGGGTCATGTGCAAGCCCTGTATCTCCTGTATCCCGAACGGAGGCGATTCAGGTTGACCCAATGGCCTCGCTGTAGATCAGGGTCTGTTTTACGGGGAGATACGTCAAGTATGAACGGGAAAGGAGTCTGCCGACTTTGATGCTGTCCTTCGTCTATGCTGTGAAAATAACTGAACAGAACGTCGACTAGATGAAAAGCTGAGAAAATAATTGGCCAACTGAAACTCGGTTACATCTACGGGGAAAACAAATCCCCACATACTCGCAACTTCCAGCACCAATCTAACAATCAATTAAATTACTAAAATCTACTTACTCTTTAAATTCAAAATTCTCAAAATAAGAAAACCAAATTTTTCTCGGCTTCACTCACTACGCCGTAATGTAACGTCTCTTGTGAATTTTCTGCAGAGGGATACGACACCTCCCCCCACGCCCGAAACCCCATCACGTAATGAGTATTCCTGGGCGAAAATCTACATCCGGCAGCAATGCTTTCTGATCAGAAGATTGGAGGTTTTGAGCAGCGTGGAACCATCTCTTAATTGCTGTTGTTCCCAGGTCCAACATCACCCGGGGTGGTAGCACCTGTTAGGGTCCCAGGTGCGGGTAAATAGTGAATCAAAAACAAACAAAAATCAAAACACTAAAAAAGTATAAAAATACATTTTTACAGTAAAAATGCCAGCAATAAATTTTAATAGAACATCACCAACAATATACATATATATGAAATACATTTTTATAGTAAAGTTAACACCAATAAATTCTTATAGTAGAATTATTAGCAATACCTTTTATAGTAAAATTACTAGCAATATATTTTATACCAACATGACCAACAATACATTTTATCATAAAATGAGCAACAGTACATTGCAATCAATACATTTTCTAGTAACATTGAAGACATGGCATACTTTGTCAATAAAAAATTTAAAAAAAAACAATTTGCTATTATTAATTTCCTTTCTTAAAAGTTATCAGTCCTTGTTTGATTTTGTAAGAGTATTTGGTAAAAAAAAATAGCCGATCTTGAAATAATGTCATTTTCTTGAATTAATTATAAAGGTTAAATTTTCATATTTAGATTTCGGCATTAAATAAACTTTACGGGTTGATATGTCGCTAAACAAAAATAACCAAACCGAACTTGTTCTATAAATATTTTCATGGTAACCTTTCTGAAGAGTTTTCCTCTTTGATATCTCGCAGTACTAGATTGGCAGCTAGGTCTCGCCATTTCACTGTTGTAATTGCGAGATGTAGCTATAAATTCTACGCTAATAATTTCTTCTTCCGCATTTCTGGTTTGTAAAATTCTCTTCCGGCTTCAACTACGATCTTTAAAAATTTAAATTCAATGTCAATCGTCGTCTTCTGCCTCCTTGAATCCTGGTCTGTTATAATCCTCTCTCTCTTTCTCTTTCTCTTTCTTTCTCACTCTCTTTCTTTCTCTTTCTTTCTCTTTCTTTCTTTTTTCTCTTTCTCTCTTTCTCGCTTTCTCTTTCTTTCTTTCTTTCTTTCTTTCTTTCTTTCTTTCTCTCTCTCTCTTTCTTTCTCTCTCTTTCTTTCTTTCTTTCTTTCTTTCTTTCTTTCTTTCTTTCTTTCTTTCTCTCTCTCTCTTTCTCTCTCTCTTTCTTTCTCTCTCTCTTTCTCCCTCTCTCTCTATCTCTTTATTTATTTATTTATTTATTTATTTTTCTCTCTCTCTCTCTTTCTTTCTCTCTCTTTCTCCCTTTCTCTCTATCTCTTTCTTTCTCTCTCTCTTTCTTTCTCTCTCTCTTTCTTTCTTTCTTTCTTTCTCTCTCTCTCTCTTTCTTTCTTTCTTTCTCTCTCTTTCTTTCTCTCTTTCTTAGTTTATTACACTCCGAGTAAACTCTTGCATCTTAGTGGCTTTATCGCCTTGCTTGGGTGAAATGATTAAAACAATTATGCCTCAGCTTCAACGGACGCTGAATAATTATTCACCAACGTGAGAGTCAAAGACAGGATAGACATTGCGCTTATATATATATATATATATATATATATACACATACATCTGTTATTTTCACCTCAATAAATAAAACCAGCAACTCTTAAGAAACTGCTATTAACTGTATATCGCAACAAATCCGCTTTTACAAACAGTTAGGAAATTTATTCACCCAAACTGATTGTGTTGCTATGGGTTCACGTATTACAGCGATACTATCAGAATTCTATGTATCGACAAGAGAAAACGAAATATAAAGAAAAAATAAAAACTTTAAACAAAAGATCGACACCCGCCATATTGACGATATATTTATATGAAATAAAAAATATCAACGAATTTATAAATCTTAGAAGGAGTTTCGAAAATATCTCATATATGAAATTAGCATCAATAAAAGAAACCCACAAATACTTTGGTAAAGAACATTCACAAGGCACTTCATATTTTATTGTCAATTTGTTTTTAAACCCATAAAATTGCCCCAAACCCGAGAAGAAATAGATAAATATATAACACAGGACAAATAACCACACCATTCTACACAAGTACATACTATGCATGCGCGCACACATGTACTATATATATATATATATATATATATATATATATATATATATATATATATATATATATATATATATATATATATATATATATATATATTAAAAAGAAGAAAGAAAGGTGCCAAAGGTTTTTGGTTGTAATGTGGATTTATTTAGAAAAAATATTATGCTTTTTTTTTACATAATTGTACTACATGTGTTTCTGGTCTCGTGACCGTCTTGAGGTAAAAGGAGATTTACACATATTATTAAAAATAATTAATTTTTTTCTTCTTTTGTTTTTCAATGTTAAATATTCTCGATATGAGACATTTTCTGTGTTAGTAATCCGAATTTCTTTTTGATTATTTTTTTTCTAAATAAATCCACATTACAACCAAAAACGTTTGCGGCACCTCTCTTCTTTTTAATATACATACTTTTCTCTTGTTGGAACCACTACAGCCTCTTTCTTTTATATATATATATATATATATATATATATATATATATATATATATATATATATATATAAAATTTAAAAAACTTGCACCAATGAAAAGCGCGCATATAAGAAAGAAAAATCGAGAAGCATAAGCAATCCACCGCAAGTCAAAGACAGGATAGACATTCTGCTGATACGCCCTGACGAGTGGACGGTGTGATTCCCGCAGAATTTGTCTACAAAACACTGAAGTTGGGATGCTAAAGGTAACATCAATCAGCTAAGTGACAAACCTTTTACTCGTATTCTCTCTCTCTCTCTCTCTCTCTATCTATCTATATATATATATATATATATATATATATATATAAAATTTATTTGTTTGAAAGTTATTTTTAAATAGATACTAATATTTGAGTAGATACGCTACTTTTATTTATTTGTTAAACAGTATATTTATTTCTTTGAACCCACCGGCCTGAATATTCGAGAAATGTTGTTAGAAGAATATGCGCCCTCCGGCCTATTTTTCTAACATGATTTCTCGAATATTCAGGCCGTTAGATGCAATTAAATAAAACATATTGTTTAATAAATAAACAAAAACAGATAATCTACTCAAATATGAGTCTACATTTAAAAAAAAAATCAATTAAAAATCTGATTTAATCCATTTTCTAAAAAATATCTTTGTTTAGATTAGGATGCAAAACAGAGCAGGTATGTACATTTCGAGAATCGGTAAAATATGTGTTCTAAAGCACTATTCTGGCTATTTTTTATCAAGGGGTTCTACGTGGCCGAGTTGGTCACAGGCCTCGTCAGGTCTAATGATGGTTTCTCTAGGGGACGCAGGTTCGAATATTTTTCTAACAAGATTCCTCGAATATTCAGGCCGTTATATTCAAACAAATAAGCATATTGTTTAATAAATAAATAAAAACAGAGAATCTACTCAAATGTTAGTATCCATTTAAAAAAATTAACGTTGAAACAAATAGATTAAAAATATGTTGGATTTAACACGTTTCCAAATACATACATATTAAGAAATGGGCAAAGTCCAACAATTTATTTATTAAAGACATTTTTATGTTTAACGTTCTTTTTATAGATACGAGTATTTAAGTAAATGCTCTGTTTATGATAAACAGTATTAAATAACATTTACCGGCCTGAATGTCCGAGAAATGTTCATAGAAAATATTCGTCCTTTGACAGGATTCGAACCTGCATCCTATACGGAGCCGTCATTTACGCTGACGTGCCTAATCTCTCGGCCACAAAGGATCGTTCGGTAGGCAAGAGCGAATTTACTGCTTATAAACTTCAATCTTCCATGGATCTCGTACATTCATAACTGCTCATGGAGTATCAAATGTAAACAAATGACGTCATATATATATATTATTTCTCGGACATTCAGGCCGGTAAATGTTATATAATACTGTTTATTATAAACAGAGCATTTACTTAAATACTTGTATCTATAAAAAGAATGTTAAACATAAAAATGTCTTTAATAAATATATATATATATATATATATATATATATATATATATATATGATTTAAGGTATTGTAACTATTTTTTGATTGGAGTAATCCATTGACATGACCCCAAAAGTTCAATACTTGGCCACAGCAGTGGTGAAAAAACTTGGAGTAACTATTTTTACATTGTTCGGATTATTGTCTCCATCTTTAATGTCATATTCAGAACGTTTCGGACGTTCTAGGCTATGCCTTCCCAAAATGGCCCAGTGGCTAAAAGTGTTGATTGAAGTAATCCATTGACTTAACCCACAAAATTTCAATACCTGGCCACAGCAGAGGTGATAAAACTTGGAGAAACTAAGATATCCAGAAAACGCATGGCACGTAGAACTAGAACAATGTATCCCGGTGGACAAAATAATAAAGAGTTCTGTTGGAAACTCCAACGTATATCACCTGAAGTACGCCGGGGCATACAACGACCGAAACGTGGTGAATATAATAAGATGAGGACAATAATCCGAACAATGCAAATAGCGTATATATATATATATATATATATATATATATATATATATATATATATATATATATATATATATATATATATTTCAAACATTACTATAGTGGATACTTGTATTTGGAATGAGCGCCTGTTTTTATTTTAAACAGTATGTATCATGAATTCTAAATACATGCACACATATATATATATATATATATATATATATATATATATATATATATATATATATATATGTATACATACATATATATATGAATAAATACATATATATATATATATATATGATACATACATATATGTATATATATGAATATATATATACATATATATATATATACATATATATATAGGAATACATACATAATTCTTATGTATATATATATATGAATACATATATATATATATATATATATATATATATATATAGAGAGAGAGAGAGAGAGAGTGAGGGAGAGAGAAAGAGAGAGAGAGTGATTCCAGCGTACTCTTGCTGCACTACAATAATATTCTATATATGTTTGTACAGGTAGTCAGTAATTGTATTCCGTGACATATGCATTTTATACACATTCGGGAGGCCCAAGAGGTTTAACTGAGGGGAATCGGCGTATTCATAAAATCACCAACAGAACCCGCTGAAGGTTTGGGCGTAAGTATATATCCGTGTCACCATAAATAGAAATGCCAGAACATCACCGTTATTTGAGAGAAATACATCAGAATAATTTGCACGCACGCACGCACACGAAATGCACAATGGCACAGAAACAATTCAACCTCGACAAAGGACCTTAACGATTAAATCAAAACAGTGTTCGACAATGCCAGGTCATTAAATTCCAGGTACCAGAGTAAAAGACAAGACGCAACTCATAAAAGAGTTTGTAAAGCATCACACGGAGAAAAAAGAGAGCTCAATACCAAAATGGTCAATGAATACGGAATGTTTGCTTATAAATAGGTACATCCAAAGAATCGCTAAAAAATGAGCATACCATGATAAAAATGCTTCAAATTTAATAAAAAAAATATTTTATTATAAAAATCGTTATATTATTATTATGAGAAAACCAAAGGTTTTTTTAATTATTAAATTACATTTTTTTTTCTTGTTATTCGAAATTTTGTTTAGAAATTGTTTTTCTTGATTTAGTCGGTGACAATGAATTTTAGCGTCCTTCTGTGGTCCAAAGCAAACTGAATTTGGAAATTCTTGCAAAAATCAGATAATTGTTGGATTTATTGAAACTTTCAGGAATTATTCAAAAGTGAATAATATTTTTTAAATGTTTCTTTTATAGACAATCTTTGCAAAAATATTTTTTTTACATCTGTTACCCCCTCCCATCCATACTTACACTTGTTTAATTTTATGAATTTTCGAGAAATTCTTTTTTTTATGGGACATAATGCTTATATTAATTATAAGGACAAATCCTCAGAGAATGCAAATTAATTCTTTTTGTCAAAAGAACCCCCAATTACAGAAAATCTGCTCTTATACGTAAAATAAAACAATGCAATAAAACTAAGATATAATGTAATTAGAAAAGCTTTTAATTGCTTTTATGTATACAATATATTATGAGCACTATTGTCTTTAGGAAAAAATATTTGATGATTAATGGATTTTTACAAGAATTCTTTTCATTTTTTTAAATTTTATTTAGAATAATTCATAAGCTTTTAAATCTTTGTAGCAGAAAAATGATATTGTTATTAAATTAGGACTGTATTTGCTAATCATATACAGAAAACCTCTCTACAATTTAACGACTGACAATATTTTAAAAAGAATATTGAATTTAATTTACGTGTGTATAATTGTGTTAATTTTTGCAAATACGAATGTCCAAAAGCGATATTATCAGAAAATAAGAACGGTAGCTATAGTAAAGTTAAAATTTATTGGTAATTTTACAACGTT